CATGTCGTTTAACTAAGAAATTGTAGAGACGACGTTGTGAGTTGGCATGTTGCATTTGAATAGGAATACAATGAATAGGATTTGGTTATGGTAGTAAGAATTTAAACCGATATAGACTTGTAATTTGGAATCAGTGGCATGACTGAATGCCTTTAGTTTAACTATATTGTACAAACGTTTCAGGTCAAGAAGTAGTGACCATTATTAATATGATAATAATAATTATTATTATTATTATCATCCTCATCCTCATCATCACGTAGCGAACGTTGCCCTTACGAATGTGCACATATGGTCTACATTCAACTGAGGAACCAGCGTCGATCATTCGCCATGCATTTCCAATGGCTTAAGGGCGGAAGAAAAAAGAATCATTTACTGCAAACAAAACTGAAATAGACCATCGAAATCGTCATTGCTTTTTTCAGCGGATTTGGGTTCTTCGTTTATTTTGATAACCGTATGCAAGACAGAACGCCATAACCACGAGATTAGATGAGTCAGTTTTCACCTGGACTAATGTACCACAGATTGACAAAGATAAAAATGGATTCTGCACAAAATATTTATCTGCTCCCACCGGGACATAATACTACTTCATGAATTAGTTTCACGAGAATCGGGTCCACCTATGATTAGCATGATAATATGGCTTCCTGCTGGTAGGGTACATTCGTCATTAATAGATTCTCGTCAAATACGAATGCTGCTTAGTACTGAAATCGCATGTCGCGCAACACCAGATCTGTCCAAACCTAAAACGAATGGGGACTAGTGATACCTAGATTAATCCATCACGCACTCTGCCTTATATGATTTGATCCTCCATTCACTGAAATACGAACTTAAAATCAACGTGGATAAGAACCAGGTAACTAGTAGAAACATAATGCCTTATTGGCTGGTATCGCTGAAGGGAATTTTGCAGTGAATAAAAACAATGATTNCTATCTCGACAAGTACCAGAAATTTAGGGGAACTGCGAGAAAAAGCATAAGAAATAAGCTGGGACTAGGATGAACATCAGGTGGATGAACATGAGTTCCCGTCAAAGAAAGTCACGCATCTTGCCTGATGCGAACCAAATATGAAATCAAATGGAAATTAATAGTGTTCAAATTTCTAAAGACTGATGAAAGTCAGTTGACGCGCTTTCTCCCAGAGTTCCTGAGTGCCAATCAGAACGCACAACGGAGTTTCTATTACACTAGGATTCATCAATTAACTACGGACGAACAATGTCCGGGAGTTCCACGAGGTTTGACAATTTTTGCAACAGCTCGATGAGCTACAAATCGAATCGGATCACTCGTATACGATATCGTGGCTCAAAGGTAAAATAGCACAAACACCTGGTGCCCCGACAATCAACCAAATGATCACTGAAGAAGGATCATTCAATTTATATTTCGTTTGTTATTCTGAAAACAAGGAAATAACAATAGACCGTGTGTGAGAAGACAGAAATTGTAATATTCGATGAAATACAAATGTCATTTTGACTAGTGATGGAATCCTTGTAAACTAATTCCATACCCAGGAAAATGAAGCCAACGTGTCCGGGATGCATTTTCATCTCTAAATATCGTTGCTTAAAAATTGTCCACTGGAAAACAAATCTAAGCTCCGGAGTAAATATATTAATGTTTATCGCATTTTGACACGTACTTGGTTTTTTTTATCAAAATCTAACCTAAGTCACCTAGTAAACCGATGAAATAGCTTCATGTTGACCGCTTATTTTCGATCCCGAATGGCAAAATAGATTAACTGAAAAGAGTTGACTATCTTTGTAACTAAAACCTAGTTTGCACTTTATTAGAGTGCACCGGCGACAGAAGGATAAGGAAGCAATGGGATCGTGTGTAGGTTTTTGACTACCAGGCATCTTCACATCCAAGTTAGCTAATGGAATGCGGTTAAAATAAATCAGTGGGATGCTATTACGTATATCTATATTCTGCAAATAGGATTGAAAAAACACTGGCAAAGGTAGCCCATACCCTGAGAAACGGATCTGCAGAGGGATTAGCATTTTCTGCACATTTTCTTGTTCTGCCGCCAGAATGGTTCACTAGAGCGAAATGAAAACACAAGCCCCACGAGTACACTCAAAATCCAACTTTTGCTTCACTTAGCTAGAACGTGAACCTAATCTGTTGTGAGAAACCCAAACTGAAAAGTGTAGAATTGCACTTGAGGGAAATAATTAAAGCATTTTGTATATTAAGTTTATGAACTTCTCTTGCGGAACGTTTTCTCGATAAAAGTGATGCTACAGTAATCGGCGTTGAGATTTACCCTGCGGTTTTTGCAATATCACTTAGTTGTGCGTTTTAGTTTTCACGACTGGCCCGATAAAATTACGGCCTGCTCACTGCATCCACACTGATCGATATTGAGAATAATCAAAAATATCATTTACTTGGGTATGCTTGATTAATATATGATCATTTGAGATGTTGGTCTCAATGCAGCTTAATTGTTATTAGCTTGTCATTTCAAATAAAAAGTTATAATTTTCCGGTTCTCATACATCGTGATGACGACGATTTTCAGTTTAACTGTTTACTACTTTGTGAACTTACCGCAAGCAAAATTAGCTACTCAGACATTTGTTTCCATCGGACTAAAATAGGTAATCGATTACGCCGTGAGAAACAGTGCACCCGTGCACATTGAGTATCATTCAATATGGGCTGGGAAAATAAACACCACTAACCCTCGGACCTTTCTTTCATTTGATTTGTGCTTAGTCCGTCATTTGACCATGGAACAGTTTCAGCGTTCCCCATACTCGAAGATGGAAACCGATCGCGGTTCATTGAAACGTTCCAGTCGATTGCAAACGGGTTGGCATGCACTTCAATCATCCGAAACTGTTCCTCTGACAACGTTCTCGGTTTGTCTACTGTGGTTAATGACTGCGCTTCCGCTGTTGTGGTTGTTGTTGTTTTACTGATATTCTTATTCTGAGCAGCTGCTTGCTTCCGTGCAACTCTTTCCTGTGTGCGTGAACCGAATAAATAACGTCTTATTCGTCCTCTTTGTGCATAGACAATCCAACATAAAATTGTCGGACATATGACACTGAGCGCAACCAGCAAACTGATAAGTATGAGCCGCTGAACCCACGAACTGCCGGAAAATGTTCCCGAATAAGAGCGTTGTGTGAACTTTTCGCGTGAAGATGTTGAATCGGAAGGATTTGAACCGGATATGTAGTGTGGCTTTGAGAAAGATAAGGATGTGTGCTCCATTTCATCACTCGGAACGTAAGATGCTTCTCTGGAGCGTAGATTTTGCATTGGTGTCAAAGGAGACTTGGCTACTGTGTCTGGAAGATCGTTGATGGGGCGTTGGTACCGCGGAGTATCCAAGACATTCAGCTGTATAAAGGCTAGTGTTCGGAAAGTGTTTGCTTTTCCGAGGTTGTCAAATACCGAAATCTGAAATATATAACTAAGAAAATGGAGAAAGAGAGAGATTGTGTGAAGTAGATTTACAGCCTTAAAACGTTTATACTAATTAAGGTGCATCGACTCCACAAAGTGTGCGTACAGCATGATATACATAAGCCTTTTTTGGTTTTGTCTTTTAAACAGAATTATACAAAGAAGTTATTTAAGGAAAAATCGTTTATACAAATGTACATGCCCGAAATGATGCTTGAAAGTACAACACACTATTACAAAACATCCTTCTCTGTAATTTAAAACGGCTAATCAGATTTTCGAATTGAGGTCATAGATCAGTTGAAAAATAACAATTTAGTCGTTTGAACTAAGTAAACTGTACGAGAATGAGTATTTACTTAACCCATAAAACCAAACTTCATTCTGGAGTCGGAGTGAAGGTTTGTAAAAAAACATTCTCAGGTTTTCCAGACCTCTCCTCAGTGGTATGTTTTGCACTTCAAGAGTTCATACATTCATTCTGCTTCACAGCCTTTGTTGCGTTTTTCAGGTACGATACCAGAACGATATCAATCTAGTCAGAACAGAAACCCTCCGGAATGATTTCCCTTTCACGTTTAAACAATTTTAGCAGCAGTTGTTTGGACAAAACAATGCTCATGAAATGATGCATAGTCTAAACTTTGTTGGAAACTGAAATCGAGCATAAGTTGCCAAACAATTGATCATTCTTCGTCTTGAATAGACCTCAGTGGTGAGAAAGTATAGAAAAAAACATGTTAGGATACAGAAAATATTCGGTAGAGTTCGAACGGTACATGTATCGATCGTTTTGTTCTGTATGCTCCAGGATAAGAATGTAAAACATATATTTTTGCGGGATAAAATGGTAATCCCAGTCATACGGCAGTTGATTATACTTATTATTCTCTACTGTTGTATACACGGTTTGAGTAAAATATAATAAAAGTAGAGTTTGTTGCGTAAAAGTGCGACAAACTTTCTCTTGAGTTATGAAGTGATATTATAAAATCACCGAAGATACTGAAAATAAAAGATCGTTTGAAACCTGCTGACATTGAGCTAACTAGTTCAATTAAGTAGTTGGAAAAATAAGAACAAGATTAACTAAACAAAGCCTTACTGTTTATAAGTGGACAGGAAATCATTTTTAGAATGACCTGAGGTGAATACGATGGCAAACGTGGCAATGGATTGGAATTCCCAGTAAGCGTGTTGAAACATGTTATAGACAAAATAACTGGAGGATGGTATGAAGGGTCAAACATTTGAACTCACATGATTTATTGTAACTTCCCTGCTTATAATGTGGTGTGTAACCCCTAAAAAACGATCTTAAGTTTGCTTAAGAATCGTGCATCATTATTTACTTTTAATTATTCATGGTTTAAATTTTCAATTACGGTTTTTCGATTTATTGGTGTACACAAATATTGGTAAAGGCATGCTCATTTGTTTTCTAACTTCAAACAAACTTTATGTTGTTGGAAAATATCGTAGTTTAAATATAGGTTTATCAATACTCAGACATGGTTAGGTTACTTCAAGCTATGTAATCAAAGCTTACGTTGCCACCGATGATATCGACATTTGACTGGCCACATGAAGTAAACCAGATGTGCTTTCTAATTTTACACCTTCAAAAACTTTTAGCTGCATTGCTTTGCCATCAACACAACGGAATACATAATCCAGGGAATATGTGAGACTTCCATGCTCCCCAGCATCTCGGTCCAGTGCTTGTATGTGGAAAATGGGATATCCTTGCTGTTCTTGAAAGGACATGGATATATTCGTCACAAAAATGGGATTATCTGCTTGCTCATGAGACATTTTGGGGTAGGGAACGGTGCAGAGGAGCATAGACGGAGGCCATCGAGTGACCGGATAAAAGGGATCCATAAGCACCGGACCGTTGTCATTAACATCCGTCACCTGAATAATTAGCGTTCTTGCATGGACAGCATCGATGGAGTCTGGAGATTTATAGACGAACAAACGTAGCCGATACTCTGCTTGCGCCTCCCTATCTAGTTCGGATTTGGTAATAATGGCGTATGGGACTCCTTTTTGACCGGTTTGGCTGAACCATTCAGAATTAGGAAGTTCTTGGATACAAAATTCCTTTGATAGAACTGACGATTGAAGTGTACTCAATCCCGCATTCCGAAGCTCCATTTGACACGCTTGTGGACCGACTGTTGAACAATAGACAATGGAAATAGGGTTGAGGAAGGATCCAATTGGAGCATTCTCGGGTACGTCTAGATGAATCACTGAGCTGTTGTCCAGGTGGAATCTTCCATCCTCGATGGGAGTGAAGTATAGCACTAAATCCGCTCTTGGGGTGAATTGAATGTGCACGAACAGATCTATTGAGTCCGTTAGGTTCCCTTCTGCCTCTTGGGATATGAGACGGACCTGCAATTTAAGTGTGTACTTCCCATTGGAATGATAATTTGTTGTATCATCCCGCAGTAGTATCACTTGACCAGATTCCGCATTCACCGTGAATAGTTTTATTACATCTGAAAAGTGACGCAAAAGTAAAGCAATGCATGACGTTTGATTGGCTTCGGTAACCTTATTAGAATACGAAACACCAAGCACTCGACGAAGAAGAAAATCTATTAGCAGCAGATTGTACGATGCTATACGAAATTCAGCCATGTTGAACACTTGTCAAATACTATAAAATTGAAGAGTTTCATATAAGTTACCATTTTGAAACATCATATGGCGCATCGATTTTTCGATACACTCCGAACGTCGTTCACATCTGAAGATTTTCATTTTTAGACGAAATATGTGAGTGAGGATTTCACCATTAAACATGACATTAGGTAAAAAAAAATCACTCAGCCCATGGGACACTGCGTTAGACAAAAGTTCCAACACAAAGTTGATAGATTCAATGTCGAAAGTCTACTCAAAATAATCAAAAATGGAGGAGAAACAGGAGGATATTCATATTGTTATAACATGTGCAGTGCATCTTCTAAGGATTGCGTGACAGCGATATATATATATAGTGCTAAGCAAAACTGAAGCAACGGGTCCTGTGTTATTTCTCGAATTCAGTAAGTTAGACATCAAGTATATATTATTATTATGAAACCTTAATTAATACAATTTCTCTGGGTAATGAAAGAATTTCATTTGGTTATCCAATAGAGTTGCTATAATGGATTATACATTAGATAAAACAATGCCTTGTAACAAATAACCGAGATGGCAAGGGTTTATGAAAATAATTTGGGATAATTCTTGAATCATTCCTATTAGAAAGTATTGCGTTGTCATACTTGATAATGTTTTGGTTTTCACGTTCAGATAATTTAATCATGGCACTCAAGGTCAGACATGTTTAATTGACACTTATGCAGACTAGAAACTACGTCGATCGAAATAGACAGGATATAAATTATTGTCCATACCTAAAGCATTAATACAGATGATAAATATAATGAAACTCCATTTGGTCATAAAGAAAATATTGTAGTACATCACAATCGGCCAGTACTGCAAATAGATACAGTGTACGCATAATGCGACGGCGTACATTTGGTTACCTCATTTTCAAGCCTCAGGAGTATCAAACGGTCGAAACCTTTAATCAGTAATTAATTTTAGCAACTGCTTTTGTAAAATACTGAAGCAGTCTGTATATAATTAGCTTACGGATATATGAACGTACCAAGTACCATGCGATTTCAATGTCACGTACTATGCCGGTTTTTTTAGATAAAATTAAATTACATCCAGTACCTATTTCTTCAAATACAATAGTAACTGTCTAAGGGTAAACAGAATGATTTCTCAGCGGTTTGCCGAGCGTGCCTCCATTGTAGAACGGATATTGTGACACAACAAGCATTACAAACAAGTTATGGGGAGCTATTTCACTTTTACTTAATTGAGATATTAATATCAAAAGTACATTACACAAAACTTTCATCTTGAATAGCTGGATGTCCTAAATATTGAACCACATTGAGGTACCGTTTATTGGAAATCTTTGATCTCCTTCATTTATCCAGCTTCAGGTCACATGACTAAGATACTCGGTTCTTCGGGGAAGTGAAGTTTTCTGTATACTGTGAAAAATGGGCAACCTTTGTAACTATTCACTGGAAAATAGCCGTGCTGCTACAGGACTTTAAAGTAGTCTGCACTAGCGCTAAAGAAGACAACTAAGGAATTGGATGGAAACGGTCATATCGCCTATTCTATGCCCTTTTTTTCCAAATGTCGGGCGTTTCCGCTTGGCTGATGCCTGTAAAGTTTTACTTTAATCCTCAAGTCAAATGGAACTGTGTGTTAGTCTCTGTTGCCTTGGTGCTCCGACGCAGTTTCTCCTTTCGGGCTGTTCACTCGGTATGAGGTTTGCATAACAAAATGTTCTCCTACCTAAGGCACACATTTGTACTCAATCGGAACCGCTTGATTGAGCATGGAAAGGTATTATCAGTTGATATTTGTGTGTTAGCGCAACACAAACTTTGGGTCACCACATGATGTGCCAAGGTTGCTTTCAAGAAACGAGTGGGGCATCAATCAAGTAGATCCTGAAGAGAAATTATCCGGTCTCACGACAAGGAAATCCATATCGTTAGTCAAATGAACTTACCCTTTTTGTTTCTATCCATCGGTAGTCGATATATCAACTCTGACGCTTGGTGAGGCATCTGAGTTTCATAGGAAGCAGTAATCTGAAATAATGATATATTTCGAACACGTTTTAATCGGTCTTCAACAAAAACGTTTTCCGAGGAATCAAAAGAGAAACACAAATGTGGGACGAGTCCAATACGGTCTTTCGTACGTCTCGGGTCGAGCAGGACAAATCTTTGTGAGGATTCAAATGCAGCCGATTGGTTCACTTCTGTCATTCTGCCGGACGACTCACATGACTGTCTGCTCAACGTGAGTGCATCGGACAACAGGTGCACAGATGTCCAGTGCAAACGAGTTTGATCGGCAGCATCCACCATATGAATGTGTAAGGTACGCTCACTTTTTAGTCTGTTTGGGCCTTGATCTTGACATATTATTTGTACGAATATCTGAGGAACCAGTTGCGGATGAATGTGCTTTTATGGGTAAGCACAGTCAAAACCCGATGGGGAAAGCAGAGAGACAGGAAAATGCAATGTCATTTTCCACTCAAGGTGATTTTATCGACCGGACATTCGTCTGGATTAATGAACACGGAAAACTAGAGAACAGCACTAACATTACTTACATAATAAAATCTTAGGTTGCAGTAACCTCCAGTTGCAGTTTTGAAAATGTGATCCGACCAGAATATTTGAACATAAGGTACACAAATTGCAATACCGGTTGATATTTAATTTTCAAATCCGTTGAATTGTTTGAAAACTATGAGCACAATTCAGTCAAATAACATCACCTCCCTCAAAGGAATGAATCAAAGCATGATGATGTGATTATCGGTAGTCTAAAAATAAATTCTGGCCTGGTGCTAAAGTAGTTTGTGAAGTTATGCCCGATTTCGAGGAGATCGGATTTGTTTTGCTTGATTACTAGAAACGAAATTAAATAATTCCTAAATGACCAACAACAAATTGTCAATAAGTTAAGATAGATTTTTAGTCTAACGTTTGGAATCGGGTTGATAAAGTGATGAAGCTCTTTCTTTAGGCCCGTGTAACTAATCCCGTTTTCCAAGTTTATTTACCGGGTTATGCTATTTATGTATGGCGTGTTATATATATATATACATATACGCATATATGTACATATATATACATGTATATATAACAGCGGCATGCAAACGAGCATGGTTTCAATGCTACAAAAATGGCGTGTGATGGCTTGAATAGTAACCACGATGAAATTATTACAAAGTTACTTAACATAGCAAATGAGAAGACTAAGTAGAGGGAACCAAGTACCATTGATTTTAGTGGCACCGACGCTTCAGGATGCTGTCCTCGTTTGACCGGTGTTTAGGTTAATATTGAGTTTAATTGACGGCCATAATCTAATCACCTAAGAATTTGTTTTCCATTTCATACGAAGCACTGAAATGCCTGGATAAAAATGTCATGTATTGTAATTGAAGACCTCGTTTAGAGCTATTGTGAAAGGTGGCCTTGATAATTCAATAAATGTCCAGTTCATTAAGTTTTTGGAAAAGTATTTAGTGACGGACACTAATTGTTCTGGAGATGTTACAGGAATTATTACTTTGATAATGGACCGGACGTGGTTGAATTCGAGTTTACTCCATTCTAAGCAGATGACAGCATTGTTGGACACCCCCCCCCTCAGATAGAGTCTACCACGACCGACAAAACATGCGTTTTTGGACATGACGTGCATCCGATGAGCCTCATCATAGTAACAAATTTCGTGCATATTAAAAGTGTTAATTTCCAACTAAAATAGTGACAATTCCTTTTGGAATGTTTTATGTAATATATTCTTTGTTGTTGTACAGTAAGAAAATATTTTCTCATTTTCTCGCATGAAAATGAACATTGTTCAACATGAGGCTCGCTCGGAAAGAAGGTGAAATGCCTTGGTGTCGAAAGACTGGGTTTCGCAAAAATAAACATGGCACTGGTTTCTATTATTCTATTGTTCGTTATTCTCCTTATCGGTCGGTTCATAAGTATCGATACTCGTTTCTGATCCATACTAATAATACACTCAAATCAATCAGATTTCAACTGCAGCCGATTTCATGCCTCTAACAGTGTTCCATATTAAATGCCCATCGATTGTGAAGGTATCAAACATCATTTAGCTTCATTTTGAATTTAATGCAAATTTCTTCCATCATTTTGTTTTGCGATTCCGATGCACTATCAAGTTGTTATTATGAGTCAGGTGAAGTGCGAGTTTAATCCCCAACTCTCGGCAGCTTCTAACGTTTTAGCTTGGTTTTTCAACAACCCTTTCACTCGGAAGATAATTATAATTGTCATTGTTTTGCACGATGCATTAGATTCCTTACAATACATATATGATTGGCTAGTGTTGGTTGTTGAATTTTGAAGGATCTCACGTGAATTTTGGTGTAATCAAGGATCTGACCCAACGCAGTTTGAAACTCGTTTATGTTGTTTAAACCACTGAGAAGCAATTGTCTTTTAATTAACATAAACATCAATCGTACGGTTGGTTATATTCTGAGGTTTTACTGATTTTTTGGAGCATATGAGTTTTCTTGACAGTTCATCTTGGGGGAGATCAACAGCAGTAGTCAGGATGTTTGATATTCAGTTCCAATTTACCAGAAGTGAAACCATTCCCAATAAATGTATCATGCCTTCTATCATAAATGGTCACACTCCCTCCAGCCTACTGCCAAACAAAAAACTACCCGTCCAGTCCGAAACGTTTTCTTGGTCCAAACTGATCTTACCCGTGAACCTCCCCAAGAGCAAATGCTTCCTTTAAACAAACAGCGATTTCTTTGTTTACCAATGCGAAAAAAACTTGTAGATCTTCTTGTTTATGTTACACATGAGCAGATATGTGTGAACCCCGTAGGATATTCACGTGTTCCACGGAATACCACTGAAGCCAGTAGGCAAGGAGCATCTGTAGTTTATCCGAAATCCTGCCTAGTATGATCGTGTGGCTGTGTGTGCTCAGACTGTCTCTACAATCAACGACACATAAGAGGTATATAAATGACAAGTTTAACTAGGTGAACAAATGATAGGAATACTGGAAAATACTCGTGGATCGCATCAAGAAGTCAAGTTGGCAAACAAGCTCATTTTTGGTACCTCATTTACTAGCCAAATACAGCACTCGTTTTATAGGTCACAAAATCGCATAACTCAAAGAAATAGAAAAGGCGTCATTGATGTTTGCATTTGTATGCGTATATATGGATACTACGGATAATACAGTAGAGGTGTATGAGAGTTCAAATTATTCTGCAAATGTCATTTGTACTGTCGAATTTATCAAATACATACACGACTTCACACTCATTTGATAAATGGCTTTATGTCACTCTTGCTTTTGTGGTTGGCGGTGGGAAATCCAGAGCTCTGACAGACTGTTTTTGAACGCACAAGAGGGGGGGAGTGTTCAGCCGAACCGCGATTGCTTCGGCTGTTGACTGTAAGTGATGCTTGACCTGCCTCGATCTCACCTCGGTGATCGTGTAGATGGGCCTGACCGCTTCACTCATTCTGACACGATGCTCGGTTTCGACCAAATGAGCCGAGCGTCCCCCAGGGTATGAAGTCCGTTAGTGCCTATTCAGTGGAAAGGGGGCTTGAAGATTCGGACTAATATCCCTCTGCAACATTGGTTTCTCTAAGATCCGCTTAATCTGTTATCTCTCTTGCTCGATTCTCATAACATGAAGGGGTATATAATACCACGTATGGACTGCATTTCTCAACTCATATTTAATGCAGTTTGCTCAATCATTGCCAATTAAGAGATGGCAGCCTAGTTTGTGCTGGAAACAGAAAGAGACTCTTTTCCCTGGTGCTGTATTCGCAACACTATGGGAAATATTTGCTTGGTGCTGGTGATTTTGTAAATATGTTGCAAACACTTATAGCATAGTAACTGTGATGTGCATCTCACGGAATACAGTGACAACTATCCCAACAGGAATTGCGGGACAGATAATAGCCGCATTCTTTCTTGAAGAAAAAGTCTACTTTCTGGAAAGTACTCAAGTGCAAATTAATTAACACCAATTGCTGAGGATGAGATATTTTGAAGTCAACAACGATGACTTTGGCGAAGAAATGTTTGTTTCGGCTCCTCTCTATTTTTCTCTCAAGCACTCAGTTCAATTTGTATGCAGTAGCTTCGAAAGATTGAATATGACTGGAATTGGTGCATGATTTATCAGGGTCATTCATTGTTACGGATTTTCATCACAACGGAATGCAATACAACTAGCCCCACATGCCATACTGGCAATGTATTTGATGTTGTTTTCAGCTTTTCTCCTATTGCATATGCAACACAAATTTCAAACACTCTAGTTCAAGTTAAGATGATAACTAATCGAGGTTATACCTTCGTATTCGTAATTGAGCCTTAAATTGGCTTCTCTGTTTCTTTTCCATTCAAAGAACTCAAAAGATCTTTATTTATCTAATGCATTTGGCACTACCTCATGTTCCCTAACGCATGACAATAATTCCGGTAAAACGCCCTGTGTAAACAGCCAAAATTATATTGTTTGTTCTCTCTTGCATATTTGCGCAACTCAGTTCCTTGAAATAGATCGTTTCCGATAAACTGATCGCGCGAACAGACGCTAACTTCATTTTCTATCTTGGTCGCCTGTGTGCTTGTGTTAGAAACAAGGTGATTAATTGTACTTGTAAAAAAGAAATATTTCCTAGGATAACGTAATCAGTCTGATGTTAGTTCAAGTCTTATGGAGCGAGTAAAAGAAGTTTACAAACTTGACAATCATAAATTTGATTGTAATCCCTGTTTACTTGTGATAAAAAAGTTTATTCAAATACACCCACCGTACTGCACTTCAATAAAGCTTATTTTCGGGACTCCGGACGGATGGTACAGCTGGCTCAGTTTGTTTTCCCTGCTTTATTTCACAGACTTGGCATCTTTGGCTGGCGACCAAGAACCGTAAAGGAAATGCGTCCGTATCACGGGTTTTTTTTCATAACAGTCCCTGAGGTTTGATGATGTACTTACAATCCCATCGGCTTTGAAGCCAATGAACCAGTACAACACCTTGTTGCATGATGAAATAAATATCACATTGATAGTTGAATGATTTCTGGGACGTAGTTTCGTTGATATTTTCCATAAACACCGGGGCTTGAGATGTGTTTGGATTTGACATGAATAAGTCTACTAAGTTAGTCATTTCGTATTTGCGAGACAGAATATTTATAGGCCAGTTAGCAAATAGATCAAAATCTCCTGCCAGAAAACATATGCTAAGAGAAGAGCACAGGATTGCCGACCGGCCCTTTCACTAACGACGAATAACGACAAATAAAGTGAGCCAGGAGCAATCACAAATGGGACAAATGGAACCTTGCTGTCTATAGCTCCGAATTTATTCTCCCAGCAAGGTTAAATATTTCGTAAGGTTGGATGATAGTTTTACTCTAGTTAGTTATGACATTGTCCATTTCATATACTACGCACTTCTAACGTCCTCAAAAAGTAGCCATTATAGCATGACATAATAATATAACGTATCATTGATAGGTCTGTTTTCTTACGCAGACTTTTGCCACGAAATCGCCGAAAAACAGCCTCAACCAACGAATTTAAACTATATCTTCACACTCTCCATTTTATCTTGAGGGAATTTGTCGTGCAGCGTACAAAAAATACAATCAAATATATGGTGAATTATGGAAATTTTAGTACTTTTCCATTGAGCAGTACCAACGACTTGGGTAATAATTGTTCGGATATCACAATGTTATTCTCTTCTACCGGATTTCGCAAATGCCTTTTCTTCCAGTTAACGTACTCGGTACTGGGATTTGAGGGTCCAAAGAGGATTACGCATTTGGTTACTTAGTACTCCTCAGTTCCAATTGGGGTTTTGTCATGAGTCACTGAACACATGTTCCGGCAGTATCCGTGACCGGTCGTGGAAGTGTAAACGCTGCCACAAATTGATTTTTAGCACCCATATACGGTACTTAAACGATTGAATAAAAGAATTATCGTAATGAATGATCCGACTGGACACATTTGATTTGTGCAAAATTGATACCTTTTTATCTGTTGATCACTTTGCTGGTTAGGAAATCAACGAAGCAGTTTTCATCACTAAAACTGCGTACGATGTGCGAGTAAAAATGAGGAAAGCGAAAGACATTGTGGGCTTTAAATGTTCTTTTTATTTTTTGATTCTTGGTCTTATTCGCTTGACATCAACTTTGAGTACAATCGCACGTTGAGACTGGGGGTAAATTTGATCAAATACTGCCTGAGGATATGAGGAAGCGTGTCGAGTGTGTAGCGTTGCTGAAACGTAAACATGGTCGCCAGTATGAAATATGAAAAACGTTATCGACGCGAAAGGAATGTTCCACTTTGAACGGAAAATATCATGGACTTCTGGTTTGTGCGTTTCGTGAGGTAAAGTTACATTTCTTCTGTATTTCTACTAACCTTTGTGTAAGGCTCTGACTAGGACGGGAATTGCTCTTTGTGGTGCATATATGGAAACCAACGGAAAATTCTCTGACTCTCAGGATGCTGTTTTTAATTTTTAAACACATTTTGGACCGAATTAAACCCAACTATCAATACAGGCGAGGAGACATTATCAAGAATGGGGTTAAATTCTCATTGGTGTTTGAAATGCCAATAAATTTAAGAAACGAAAACATTTTTATTATTCAGAAGCAACTGTCTCTACAAGCACAGATTTCTTCAAGGTAAATAACACGCAACGTACAGGAAAACAGGTTTTGTCTGCAAGTTACAATAAATTTAGGAAGGTATTTGTAACGATGCTTCACAATGCGCCTCGTTTCACCGAGGTCATTAAAATTAGATCCTGGGCACACGGGGGGTTACTCCGACACCGGTGTTTGAAACGACCGAACCTAAATGTATAATACTTAACTTCTCAACAGAGTCCTGTCACATCTCAGAAGAACACTTCACTTTGATTGAAGATATTATAACCTTAATTTACAACGGACCCTTTACTACAAGAATCAAGTCAAATCCTCGTAGCGGTTTCACAATATCACTTTTTTCTTTTGAGGCCTGCGCTGATCTCAAAGTGTCACAACCGTGGAAAATTATGTCACTTAGGTGCGGGGTCTTCGGATTGTGTTCAACGTCAGGTAAGGATTACCAGTTTCAAAATTCTTTCGACTAGCAAAACATAGTTCGTTTGAGAGAGATATCGTCAATGAAATAAGAAGTATATCCAGCAAATTTTGCGCAATAATCCGGGACGTTCTCCTTGTTTCGTAGAGTTCAATTAACATCAAGCAGCAGCCAAAGAGAAAATAGAGATCTATAAAGAAGGAGTCTGGGTACAACAAGCCAAAACGCATGTCATAAGCAGACCCAAATCATTCAGTCACATTACTCTTCAACCACCAGTCCTAGTCAGCATGGGAACGATACAACTATTTCTGTCACTCAACACTACCATGATACATAGTTACCTATTGACTTTATTGAAAATTGCGCATGAAAATCCACCATGTTTGTTCTCACACCAGAAGGAAGAAAATTATTCATCAAAATATAGTTCACTTACCTTGAGCGCCTCCAGCGTATAGGATTTTTCCTGCGTTTGGTTCCAGTATTTACCAGTACTTCGTGGCTCTAAACTGTGATTTATACTTTCAGCGGATTGTCTCGTAGAACTAACGCTCCCGGCATCATTGTACATAAGAAGTGGATTTAACTTGAACCAACCACCTCCAATCCACTCGTCAGAACTTCGTTTCTCAGACCGTGGCCACTGGTGTCCCACACGGCAGTCGACAGTCCCATTAGCTCCTCGGTCGAGATCCGAAGCAACCAAGGTAGCAACGACTTGGCCCGGAGAGTGGACACCCACCAGGCGTAAATCCACTGGCCATTGGGGATCGTCTGGCCATAAACTAGAAACTTTCTCTTGATTTACCCAAAACTGTTGACTAAGTTCATTCAGCTGTTCCGTTTGTATGCTGTTTTGTGTCGTCTGTACATCTTCGCCCATTATTCGGATTCTCGGTGCATTGTCGTTCTCATCGAGTAGGTACACAAGAATAAGCAGCTGAGAGCTGCGAACCGGAGTCCCCGAATCCAACGCCAGAACAACCAGTCGATGCACACCATCGAGCAGTGGAGTTTTTTCACGGTCCAGTAACTCAACCACCCACAATTCACCAGACGTAGAGTTCAGACGAAAGTACTGCAGAAGGAAAATATTTATTACACAACGCAGAAATTACTATCACAGAAATTCGAATAGTGGAAGCATAAATGAGAATAGGTAAGATTAGTTAAAAAACGTCAATTCTAACACGCTCAACGGAATATGTAGATCACTGTGATAAAAAAACTAGCTTTTTTGCGTGACTAAACGTTGTTTCAGACAATCGAGTTTGATCGATAGAGACTGAAAGTCCGAAATTCTTTGTTTCGCGACGAACGGTTAAACCTAATCAAACAAACTCCTTAGTAGTTTTAAAGTATAAAATAAAACTCGGTTAATAACAATGAATAACGAATCGCGGTTTACAGAAGGCTCTTTTTTTACTCGTAGCCATATCTGCAGCCGGTGACCTTCATTGATACGCTTTGATAGCTGCCTCATCAATTGGTTCATAAAAGTCACACCACGGTTGAAATAAATTTGATTCCTTATCATGATATAGATCAACGTAGGCTGCTCACTTTATGTGTGAATCAAATGATCGAGAATTTAATAAAACAACGTAACTGAGTTTGTCAACGGTGATATTTATTCTAGATGTGGTCCACCTATCTCTTAACAAACAAACAACTTACGACATTTTCCCCCGACAGTGAACTCATTGTTTATGTCCAATGAATATATCTCAATGAATTTATGCAGATACGGGCTCTCTTACATCATGCTCCCCGATTCTCTGAGGCCTGCATTTCAATGTACTCGGAATAAAGGGGTTTTACACACGTGATATAGGTTTAGTTTGAAAGGCAGATGAAAACTAAATATGGAGCCTGGTATTCCATTTGGTTTTGCGGTACCCTTTCGACTGGATTTTTCAGTGTAATCTTCCACTTGTAGCAATACACTTATATGACCTCTTGCTATGGGGTAGGAACAAACGGGGCTAGCGATTAAAGTAGTGACACAAATCTTATAACCATCATCCTGGATGGTGACACGAGGTGTGCAAACAAATGCCCTACCTTGATCAGATTCTATCCGATCAGATTAAACCACGATTGCATTGTTCAGTACTTTAAAAACTGTTGTCTGAATACGATTGTATGATAATTCAAAGGAATTTGCGTCAAATTGTCATTGTTCGGTCCTTGAGTACGGAGTTCTGTTGTAGGCACATTTGTTCTAGCTAGAACTAGATCATTGCATCTACGAGGTAGCAGATGACGCAATCTATTTACGCAACCGAAACTAAACCGGAAAACCTCCTCCCTGAGCCAATGATCACTCTTTGCTATCATTAAGTAAGTAATAGAAACGTACAACACATTCTTCTTATCCGTTAGAAAGAAATGCGATTTTAATGACTTCAAATAAAATCGAAAATACATGTCCTAATTACATCTCGGTGGACTGGACAAACGATACTGCCCGGATGTTTACTGTTTATATTGAAGAAAATCAAACGTGACTTCACCGTATTTGCTTTTACTTTGAAATCCGATCCAAAAACACCATCAACTTTACTTCCAGGTGAAGGAAAATTGAGCGAAGTTTGGTGTAGCACACCAAATATCCCTGAAAAACCTTGGCCTTTTGATGATGCACTGTGGATTCGAGTATCGTAAGGCTGTGCTAAACTTGTTTAGGTTCTCAGGCTTCTGTGTTATCTTTCCTGTGATGAAACCACTTATTCAGGGATTTACTCGTGCATTCGGTAGTTAACCCCCCCCCTGGATCTTGATTGTACCGTTGTTACCTAGATAATACAAGAAAATTTAAATATTATTTTCCATAACAGTTATTCACGGGCACTTTTAATAAATAACCATATGCGTATACGTTTACCACTGTCGGTGAAAATTGATGCAACATCCATCTCTTGAACATGTTAAATTAAAAAAAAACAACTTTAGTTCAGCACGATTCGTACGAAGTGTTTGTTCCAAGCCACTAGCTTAATGTAAAAAAGCAGGTAGTAATATGGAATTGAAATAATCATCATCGGGTATTCTTCATATACTGCGTGATAAAACATAAGGGCATCGATCATTTTCGAAACAGCAGGGTTCCAGAAATAGAGAAGTGATACATTTCAACTTGCCAAGCTGAATTTTTCTACAAAGAACTCATGGTGATTTTTCCATTACCACTGGGAACGCATTGTTTTTGACTACACTTTTTCATCGGAAATGATTATTCATTATCGAGTTTTCTCTAGTTGGATCACGTATGCGTATTGTGACCTTAGTTCGGACATATTAGCCGTAAGGTCTTTAATTAGAAAATAAATTGACCCTGTAAAATTGTGCATTTATCCTGCAGCCAGCTATTCGTCTGTCAATCGCGACCTGAAAGCGTTCCTCAAATAGACACGTGACCGAACAACCTTACCTGAAAGCGGTTACATTGGAGGGACGAAAATAATGTGTGTGTATGTGTGTAAGAATGTTGGTGCTTGATCGGGACAGCAATAAGCAGCCAAAACTCCTATTCTATTGGGTTCAGTGGACTTAATCGTGAAAATAGAATGTATTAAAACGTTAATGTTTCTATTTATGCGAAAGCATAAAACCTTTGTATTTGCAAAATCCGTCTGATTGCCTCAATCAGTTGTACACATAACTATTCTCATAACCTAAACTGGGAAGATATGTTGTTTTAGTGCATTGCCCGAGCAAACACCAGATGTTTCATGCCATGTGTATATTGGTTGTTACCACTAGCATTACCCGAAAAGAGAATACGGATTACAGAAATAAGCCCTGAGGAGTAGGAATGAAAACTTTTGTAATCTTAATATGGCAATCAAGCTACAGTTAGTTGTTTGTATATCATATTGTTTGAGTTTAAAATGGAATGGATAATGATGCATGAGTTCGCCAGTTGGAACCAAACACTGTGGAGAATAAAAAATTGCGTAACTTTATTTTCTCTTCTCGGATCCATTGATTATTTTCCCCGAGTATCACGGGACTGAAGTTGGCACAAGTAAATATTTCATACCAGCAGACTTATTCCACTGGGTCCTCTCAAAATAAAATAATAGACAAACGTTCAAAATATACGCTCTAGGTATAAAAATTAGCATACAAATTTAGAACATTTATTTTTTAAATGATCTATACGATAAATTTTGCTAGAAAGAGATCATTCATCTACTTGGCCACTGTTAACTTTGGAAAAGTCCGGCAGTCATTTCTGGTACTGAGTGTAGCAAGACAAACGTATAATTGTTACACAATTCCCACCTATTTAATCTGCCTACAGAGCTGATTGACAGCACAAGAAAATAATGGCCAGTATCAGCTCTGTTCATTTGTTTTCTTTCTCCTAATCAAATATACACAAAGCTGAAGGCATTGTTTTATGATTTCTCGTACATCATTCTGTAAGTCACCGTAACTATTTTGGTTAAATAAGATTCGTTATCTGTAATGGAAGGCCCAATGTTTTACATGAGGGCTCAGTCACAAGGGTAATGGGGTCTGTTGCCTAAACATGAGTCTCGAGATCAGTGAATGACATGAGCAATAACCATCCTTGCCACGATATTCTTCTTCAGTCGCCTCCCCGAATCTCCAAATTGATGGGGCTAGATGTTTTTTGTGTCACATATGAGTAAGCATTTCAAAATAAAAATCTTATTCGCGAACAAATGATGAAAGGTGAGTTACCGTACCATTTTATTTCTAGTGGACATTTCTATGGAAATTGCTTTCTGTAAACATCTCTCATACGGTGAGTTCGTTGACCATCATGGAGGGGGCATTCATTTGCGAAATGAACAGAACGGCATAAGAAATCCGGGGTACGATGTTTGTTCTTAAGAAATGGTAGCCAACGTCGCCTTCGTTCTCTATGATTTTCATTCTAAACATTTGGAAAACGGTGTCCGTTTTATACTCAGCGAATCGGTTATCCTCTCAACAAAACACAAGTCAAACGCGGTGAGTTTCCCCTTTTCATATTCATCAATAACTTGTTAGCGAAATTTCCTTATTTCAGCAGCATCAAATGGTCATCATGACTGTTTGTGATTTTTATCCATTAATTCTGTTATACTACTCCCCGTTTGTTTTCGGCGAAAGTACACCATGTTATCGTGAAAACATAAATTTCAGCCACGTTAGTGCAGGAAATATATAAACACGAATTTCACCGACTTGCGCGCAAGCTCGGTGCCATCATAGACAGCAGGCAGCAATCATTTTCTGTAACATATTTTTATGCTATAGTTGAACATTATATCGAGCTCTGTGTTTCAAATTGACATCAGATATCTCAAAAATGCTAAACCCTAACATGTTGACTATCACGGAACATTCATAAATACTATGTGGGTGCTGCATCAATAGAGAACGATCAGTACTCTCTAGTTTTGAAATAATGAAATAACTTTTCAAGCATCCGTTAATGACTCTTGAAGAGTAAAAAATCGAATGGATTCGACACGAAATAAGGACGTCCTCAGAAACGAGAAGCTTGCGCTTACCGGGGAAAACCTTAAGTCTATATTTGAATACATGGAATGGATCTCTTAGTTTACTCAATTGTGTTTATTCCATACCTCTGAAAGGAAAGACACTGTCAAATCCCTCAGATAGCTGGAAAACCATGTTGGCTATAAAGTTTTGAAAATTACACGATCAACGAAAAGAACTCATTATTTAATAGGGCATAAAAGGTGATATACTTATTCTTCCCTTTCTATGTGTACATACATCAGCATCTTTGATGTATAAATTTTTAATATCGGTCATACTAATGTATGCGATAATAACAACAAATATTATCTTCGAGAATGCATGAGAAAATGAAGCTATGAAAAACGTGCTCAAACAATGATTAAATTCATAGAAACGTTTTACCTCTCGATCACCTCTAATTGTTTACAGGCCGTTTATTTGCATACAAATGGAAGTAATACCGTAGGTGAGAAAAGAACCTTTGCGAGTAAACATTGGCAACTGGCCTTTAAAACAACTTTAACATCAGTCAACGACTCAAATAAAAACAGGAAAAATACGGGAAAAGGA